GGGGGGGGGGGGGGGGCTTTAGGTGTTTTTCTTTTAATCAAAATATGTCGATTATATTATACTTTTTTCTCATTCCGTTAAAAATCACAAAAACATAACAAATTTGTACGTATTATTGGTCGTTTTTTGTGCTCTTTTGGTCTTAACACTGCATTTCCGAAGACAGTTGAGTTTATTCTGCTGAGTTCCAGTGTATTCATTTAATTGAGTTTCAGCTTACTTAAAAACTTAAATGTCTAGATTCACAGCACATATAAGGCATGGCAACCGAATAAGCATTGTTGTGAGAGAACGATTATACTAAAAGGATGCGAATTCTAATATGTTTCTCTAAGGTAGAAGGTCGTCGACAATTATAGCATTATCTACAAAATGGAGGCTAGGTTCTAATGCATTGTGTTTTTCAAATCATTTTTTAATCGAACTCTTACATACGCAGTTCTCTAGCCTGATTTTCAATTCGAGCAACATTAGCGCCAATAAATACATTAATTGTCACTCTGCATGTTCGCAAAAAGTATCGCAAGTATTAAGAAATGCAAAAAATTAATTGCCTCATTAAAAAGCTGGCATTTATTAACATTGTTGTCTATTAAAATCCAAATAAAATACTACACTCTCAAAGCGAAAAGTAAAAAAACCTTTCTGGTAAAATTTGTCTTGTGGCTTAAGATGAAATCGAAAATAGGACTCGATAGTTACATCTACAGGTAGATAACGTTTGTCATTAAGCGTTAGTTGTTAAACATGGTCCTTACAAAATTAAATTGTTCTAAACATCCAAATACAAATACTTACATACATACATACATATGTAGAAAATCCAGATTTTTTTGAATTTAAGTAACCATGGTTATAATGAAATTTTTTTGACGAAATGGCTTTAATCCCCAGGCAAAACAGCACAATCCATACGCAAATTTATCCCTTGAACTATAGCTAATGATCTAAACAAAAGAGAAATATGGTCCATGAACTGACTTGTCAACTTTCCATCATAACATTTGTAATGGCAAACCGGCTCTTTAACTATTATACGAGTATATTGTATTATTTTTTATTAAGGTCGCAGAAAAAAAAATTAATCCATTTCAACTAACTCACCCACAAATAAAACAAACATCAGCACAAAACTAAGCAGTTATGAATGTCAAATGCAGTTCCAAAAAAGACATTTAAGTACACATTTCCATAGAAACGAGGTATTGTTCGCGACGCAACGGGTATTGCAAAAGTCGCAAATCGTCACAGTTATTGTTGTCCGCAGCCCTGCCGACACCTCAGTTTACTCTCATTGCCATAATAAAACAAAAGGTATGTTTGTAAAATAGAACACCCATTTATTGTGAACGGTTGCCTCAACTGGCATTGTTTGATTACCTGTGTATTGGCAAAATTCGCGAGTTTGACTTACCATTTTTCAGAAAGTAGGCGAGTATGTTTAACATAGGGGTCGTACCGCGCATCATTTAATGACCAAACTTACTGCCGACTAATTCAAAAAAAAAAAAAGTGCCTAATCAAGGTAATCTTACCTGAAGCAGGCAGAAAATCACTTTCACTCACTGTAACCTAAACCTAGCGCGCTTGCCAACGAGTACATACATGTGTAGTAGCGTCGCGAAACGCGATGCGCGACGGCGGCTTTCAACTTAGTAGCCACAGTCGCATCAGGATTGCTATAGTTAGTCTCAAACATTCCGCCCGCTACATTTTCGTGATTGTTACAATTATTTTGACAATTTCATTGTCTATTTGCTCTAATTATTGTCAGGTATGATTTGTATGCACAATGCAAATGCGCCGATACAAAAGCGAAGATGATTTAAGTAGGCTGTGGTTTATTTTTAGTGCCACCGTGAACCGTTTCATTCTTTTAATTAGAGCAAGCAGAAAAATTGCGCAGATACTTAGTAGTTTTGGAGAAGGTGAGTCTTATATCTAGTGAAATGCAAAAAATGTTTTGACAAGTGGAAATTAGGATCCGCAATGTTAAATTGATTGTTATATGTTTTCTGCGCTGGAACAATTTCAAAACTTTTTATAAAACAGTTGGGGGCTTACAAGGCGTCATAACAGTCATGATTTTTGTAGCGGTACAGCATGTTTTGTTTTTGTTTGGAAACACCCAAAAATATGTTTTATTGTTAAAAAAAAAATATTATTACTCATGACTGTTTATGAACGTTTTAATGGACAAAGTCATATCGTCGTTATCAGTACATGAGACTCTAATGGTCTCTATAACATTGGGATTTAGGCCTCAATATCCAGAAAAAGGTTAGATACATATATGATCTAATTATAACGTTGAATTCTAATAGATTTCAAATGTCTAAAATTTTTCTAATCATTCTTTAATCGAATTACAAAATAGGTATTTAGCCTAACTTGCAATTGGAGAGCTACATTAGAATTCTACCATCTTTACATGCATGTGTAACAGTTTAGCTGTTTAAATCAATGTTTCGGTTTTAATTGAGTTACTTTATCAGTTTTGGAAAAGCATGGCAAGGCAATGTTAATCTTGAAACTTCTTTGCTTTTCCAGTAAAATTCCAAAATTGTCAATTAGAACATTTTGCATTGATTACGGCATTAGCTTTGTACCGCACGAAACATTCCTACCATATATATTATTAATATATAAGCATATATGTATACATATAGTGGTCGAAAAAATTATAGCCGCACCACATTTTGACAAGTTCTACACTCTCTATATTTAATTGATATGTTTTTTTTTTCATTGGCTTCCTGACGTTTGTCTTTTGCTTGCGGCACTTTTGTTTTTGATGCTGTTATTGTCTTCGTGTGTACTCGATTTGTACTAGAAAATAAACAGTTATGTTGCCAAATCGTTAACGAAATAGTCATCAATAAAATGACAGGAAATAAAGTGAAGAGCAAATAGTGCCCTCAATCTCTTTATTCTACTATACGAAATCAAAAACACCACAAAGAAGTACAACATGATAGTAAATTTCAAAATAATATGTGGGCACAATCATCCGATGCCAGTACCCAGGAAAGAAGCGCGCTCTCTTTCACCCCTTTCAACATTCCCAAATGCCTGCATTAAAAAACAATCGCTTCAATAACTCTTACTATCATTTTTTAGATCCCTTCACCACCGCGTGCGCTGCGCATGCGTGACGTGGCGTTGTCCTTTCATATACTTTCCAAAATCGGTTTAGTACGTACGATGTATGTATGTATGTAGGTTATTGTTCACCATAGTGAACTCTTTATCGATCTGCACCTACCGCTTACAAAAGGGCTTGTCGGTTCACCCCTTTACACCACACCATTTCGTATTTGTGTATCCTTTTTTATTTGCCTCACTTTGTTCGCAGCGCGCATATATGGCGATTCTTCTTGTGTGTAGATAATCCAGTATTTTTTTTATTATTGTTTGTATGCAGTTGTTTATCGCCCTTTCCACTTGAGAAGCCCTGAACGAGTGGGTTTTAGCGCAAAATTTGTCATTTTTATAACCAAAACTTTTAGAGTTTTTAGAGGGTTTTAATTTGCTTTTCCTCTCCTTTCGTTATTCGATCGTTTGGAAAAGTATGAGTTTTTCACTTTTTTTAAATTCATTTTTGAAGCAAATGTGCTGTAATATGAAACGACTTTTGTTTGTAATAACAAAGAGGGGTGCGTACTCTTATAGAATCGTTTAAGTGAAAGTACATACCATCCATAGCGTCGCCGTCACCGTCACCATCACCGTCAAAGATGCTTATGCGTCAAGTTACACACTATCCGTTTGACGTTGCGTACTTTCACTTTTATGAAGTGGACTTACAAATATTTATCACACACACTCTCCAAAGCGTATTAATTCAAAATTCATTTTTTATCATAAAGCAAGAGAACATATTTCTGAGGACATGTTAACCATCAGTCTCTCTTGCCCTTCAGATTTTTCAAAAAATTACTACAAAAATTTTGCTTCAGCTTTTGCTAGAAGGTAAACATACGAACTGTGAACATTTTTAGCAAAGAATATCAAAAATTACAAATTTTAAATTGATACTAGGGATGTGCGATTAATCGGTTGACCAATTTTTTAATTAATCATAATCAAATTATTTGATTAATCAGATTCTGATTAATCAGATCAGATCCCAAGTAAATTACTGTTTACTCATTACTATGGAGCGGGTTCACCCAGCTTTGTTATGTTTGAGATTATTGCATTGAATCGATTTTTCATCTACAGTCGGTTGCGAAAAATACTTCTCGACACTTTATCCAAATAGTATTCATAATCAGTGTTGCCGTTGAGAATTTTCATAAAGTTGGTCATTGACGAAAAAAAGGGTTACCATATTATTTTTGCTTCTCATTACTAGTAGAAGAATAAATCTGTTGAATTTAAAAAGAAACTAGCGTGACAAGCTTTACACAAAACAGGGTTGCAAACATACACATAAATCTAGTTGATGCAATGAGAAGAATTGCATTTCCTTTAGAATGTTAAGTGATGCATTTTTTCGTACTTACAGGTGGAAATATTTTGTAATAGCATGATTCTGTTAACGATTCCTAAAAAATCTCTGAAAGGGGGCAAAAGACGCACATAATTTTGGAAAAGGGTCAAAAAATCAAAATTTTCTAAGAGTCGGGTCAAAGGGTATTGGCGCTTAAAAAGGGTCAAATTGCCCCTTTAGTCCCACAATGGCAACACTGTTCATTATTCGTTTTGTATCTAATAATAATTAATGTACTCCAAGTTTGTATAACTTTTGAACACTACTTACTCCTATTACCACTAACTTTAACATCCAGTCGATATCATGTTTTTTTTAGCAAACAGCGATTTCTTGATTATACAAGCTTAATTTTATAACCATAGGTATGTACAACACTTTATGGTATTCGCAATATTTTCACATTAGCCCAAACTCTTAGATATGTATGTAAAGGTACAAATTTCATTGAACATAAATATTATTCTTGAAAATCCATTTAAGTTCATACATTTACAAAAATTGCAATATGAATTGAACAGTTATGTAAATATGTATCAAATACTTTGAAAATTTCAGTTCAATTTTTCCTTAAGAAGACATAACTTCAAGATAAAGATTATTTTACACAAATCGTCTACATCGTGGTTGATTGCTTTTTTTTTAAGATTCAGTAAGGACGAATATTTTTATAGCCTCGAAATTCTCTTCAAGTAAGATATAAAAGTAACTGGGGCAACCCAACTTAAATATTTTAAGTATCGTTAAAATAAGCAAAGTGACGACCGTAAGATCGAAAATGTAGCATTTGGGAGTGCTGGATTTTATTTTATTTTTATGCGAATCTGTTTTCAGGGCAGAAATACACTCGGAGGAGTTAGAAAAAACAATTTGATGCTGGCTTGAACCCAGGCCCTGCAGAATGGTTGCGCTCACTGCTAACCACTACACCACATCGGCCATAAGGCTTTGAAAAATAACAAAGTAAAAAATTTCGTATATTCCCTTTTATTTTTTTATTTTGCTGATCGCGAGAAAACTTAATATATACATACAAACATTTCCACATAGGTGGACGGATTCTAATTAATCTTGCTTAAGAAAGAAGAGAAGGTGTAAACAATTTTTTTGTTAAACTTCCTCTGAAGTTCAATTAATTAAAAGTTTCTTTAAACACCGCCAAAATTTATTTCGAGCAGCTCTAATATTGCTTACATATGCATGCATGTTCAAAGGGAATATCCATACATACATTTTTATATGTATGTATATACATGTGTGCATATTTACATATGTACTACATCCATATAATCAAGGTACTCTTACTCCAAAAAATTTTACTTTTGTTTGTTGTGGAGCTGTTATATCGCAGCATGCGCCGGCAGAACGTGTCAAATTCATCCATTTTAGCCTCCTTTTTACGTTCACACACGCATTCATATGTATGAGTTTAAAAGTGAAATGTACAAAAAAGTGAAAATATCCCTTAAAAAGCGAAAGGAATCGTAGAACGTGCTGCCTGCCACCACACAATCAACAGACAGCAACATTTGCAACACCAACTTCTAGCAACCCCAACCGATCAACAAGCCAACCAAGCGCGCAACCGACAATTAAATTGATATCAAAATGCAACAAATTTACACACATGTGTGTATTCGTACATATATACATATGTATACAAGCATTGGCGTACCCAAAGGCGAGATTTTGAGGTTCAAACCCTCCTCCGAAAATCTTGACTGTTGTACGGAACGTATTTCTATAGAGGAAAAACTTTCTAAAAAATCGAGTAAAATAGATATAAAACTAATAATTTCTTCGAACTAATATATGTTATCTACTACACCGTAGAAGGAAGATTGAACATTTTCATACCTAGATTCAAAAGTATTTATATAACATTAGCTCCGTTAGTTTTGCCTTTCAAATAAAAATAATAATAATATTTTTACGCTTACATACATTCTTGCTAAGCATTTGGTAGAGCTGCTCCTCCAATTTGTGGTTTACGTCCTGATGTTATAACATAAATGGAGATACCTTCAGTTTTATGCCGCCTCCGAACAGCAAGTCGCCTTGATCAGAAGCTTTTTCATGGCAGAAATACACTCGAAGGCTTGCCATTGCCTGCCGAGGGGTTGATGCTGTTAATAAGTAGGAAAACGGCTGGAGCAAAACCGGTTGCAAATCAAAAAAAAAAAGAAGGCAGGAAAATAATGGAGGCAATCCAAAGGGCGGGTGTAAGCCATTCCCAAACGACTCGCCCTCGCAAAAGAGTGCATTAAAAAGTCCATAGAGTTTTGGTACAACATTTTTTCAGTACATTTGGTGATATATCTTTAGACGAGAAGTGTAAACCCCCCAAACTAATTTTCTGGTGCGGCCCTGTATATACAGATAGGAATGGGGACTCGCGGTATGAAGGATGGCAACTGTGATCGGCTGCTACCAGTTGTCAGTAATCGGCTGAAATAAATAAGCGTTGCATTACTGTAACTCAGACCCACATGCATCATTTTAAGAGCACGCAAACCATTTTAACATATTCATACATAAATGATTGTATGTATGTATGTATGTAGTTGCATAATGCATGTGTGCATACACTTAACAACATTTCCTCCTTTTCCTTTTAGAAACCTACCTTTCTGTCACGGTAACACACACCTCCATCCTATATTTTCTTTATAATCTCGTGAGTATCCATTGAAGTGTTTGCAGGAATTCGAATATACTTCTTTTCACTTTTGCTTTTTATCCCGTATTTCGTATATCAAAATGTGATCATATGTTTATGTATGTATGGAACATTTCGATATAGAGATTTTCGTGCTCTCTCACTAAAAAAAACTGCAACATCTCAGTGATTTTAACTTTGGGCTTAATTTACTTACGCAGATTTCTTGCATTCTATATAATGTTCATTAGTTTTTTATAAATATATTAGCGGTATCCCGGTGTGCTTCCCGACACCAAATATTGAACAAAAAATATTGAAAAATCCTGGAATTTTTCTATATGAAATTTTTTTTACTATATTGCAGCCATGTTTATACTTGACTTAATTTATCCGAATAAAAAATAAACACAGCACATCATAGTAACAACTTTTTACTATGTTTTCGATTTTTTATATATCTGCTGTTGTACCATATACGTGGTTCATGTGACAGACATAAACTGTCATATATCATGAACCGCTTGACCGAATCCGGGCACACTTCACAGAACCCATCTGCATGACAGTCCGAATATACCGTTTAAATTTTGTAGAATTCGTGCACTTCTTTTTTTATTTAAGAAGGGTGGTGCCACGCCCCCTTTTCCAATACCGCACATTTTTTCTCCATGAGTATGGAATTATTTCATATGTCTCTATACCAATTTTCAGTAATCTACCATAAATATTTAAAGAGATATACCAGATGAAAATTTTTGTTTATGGGTGGTGCCACGCCCCCTTTCCGAATTCCGGGAAACTTAACACAAACCATCTGCATAATAGCCCGACTATGCCATATAAATTTGGTTGAAATCTTGCATTTATTTTTTATATACATATAAGATGGGAGGTGCCACGCCCTCTTTTCCAATACCGCCCATTTTTCTCCATGAGTATGGAATTATTTGATATACCTCTATACCAATTTCCAGTACTCTACCACAAATATTTCAAGAGATATACAACATAAAAATTTTAGTTAGTATGAGAGGTGCCACACCCCCTTTTACGAATTAGGGCAAACTTCACATAAACCATCTGCATGATAGCCTGAATATGCCGTATAAATTTGGTTGAATTCGGTGAAGCTGTTCTCAAGTTATGCAGAGATGTTACAAAAAAGATATCGGAATCTCAGATTGTCGAAATTTGAAACCGATATCGGGTTGAAATGGTGTTATGAAACCGACTTGATTTTACTTTTTTCGAAGATAGCAAAACCAATATTCGAATCAGCTGTTTTGCTTATTGTGAAGTAAGAAATTAAATTGAAAAGTGAACAAATATGACTTCTGCGGTGATAGTGTTTCTTTTAATGAATGGCACTAGGGAATCCACTCAAAAAATATAGCGAAAGATTTTGCGAGACAAGAGCAATCCGCTGGAGATGCCAGAGGCAACGTAAGTGCATTCGCCGTAGATCTCACATTTACTGCTTCATTAACAAACGTCTACAATTTTGCAGGTTTATTGACCAATATCGCCTTAATAAGGAAGCTTTTGTAATGGTGTTAGACGTAATAAAATGCAAGCTAGATTGGTTATCCATTTCTCCGGTGCTGCAACTTGCAGCGGCTTTAAGGTTTTTCGCTGAGGGATCTTATCAAAGATCTGTGGGTAACGATTTGAGCGTATACTTAGCGAGGAGCACGGTGTCGGTGGTGATAAGGGAAGTGCTGAAAGCCCTAGAACAGTCAATTTGCAGACGCTGGGTTAAACTTGAAATGAACGACAACGAAAAACGAAGGGCAAGGGAATATTTCTACACAAAATACCGCATTCCAGGCATTACTGGATGCATTGATGGAACGCACGTAAAAATTGTAAACCCCTCGGTTGATGGGCATTTATATTTTAATCGGAAAGGGTATTTCAGCATGAATGCGATGATTGTAAGTTAAAAAAGTAAAATGGTAGGTACATCTATTAACTTTTTATATTTTTATTTTCGAAGATTTGTGATAACGATATGTTAATTCGAGCGGTTGATGCAAGATATCCTGGTTCAAGCCACGACTCTTTTATCTGGAATATAAGCAGCGCTCGACTATTTTATCTAAGCCAATATGAGGCCGGCGAAAAAAACAACAGGCTGTTAGGAGACGGCGGCTATCCCATTGAACCATTCCTTTTAACGCCATACAGAGATCCACAATATAACTCCCGCGAATATAAATTCAATATGGCACACTCCTCAGCGAGGAATATTGTGGAGAGAACAATTGGAGTGTTAAAAAGCCGCTTCCGCTGCTTGATCAGAACGCTGCATTATAGCCCACAAAAAGTGGTTCAAATTATAAATGCGTGTTGTGCACTCCACAACATTTGTAGGCATTATAAAATACAACATGGTGAGAATGTTTTGGAATCGACCGAACCTTTTCCTGGGGAAAATGTTTTGGAATCGCCCGAATCATTTCTTGATAATAGTGAGGCGTTCCCTACCTTGTCATTACAAAATGAGGGACGAAGAATAAGGGATGAAATAGCAGCCAACCTTCAATAAAAATATTTAAGAATAATTTAATAAAAAGTTTTATTGTAAACTCAAAATTATCACATTTCATTTATTTGAATAAAATAACTTATAAAATTTAATTTATTTGTATAAAAATAATACTTTATACAAAATTCATTTATTTGAACAAAAAAACTCTTCATGTTTGTCGCAAAACACTAATTTCTTTTCTTTTGATGTTCTAGTTTTAAAATTTCCAGATCTAGCTGTTTTTGTTTTAATTCATTTTTCTCCTGCATGGTAGTTAACATGCGGACACTAACGTTATGCAGTTCATTTTTAAATTCTGTTGCTGTCCTTTGAAACGATTCAGTACCTTTTTCTATTGCTTTATATACTCTTCTTATATTGCTAGCGTTTTCCTTTTCTACCTTTATTAGTTCACCTATCATACTATTTAAGCCTTTTTTGTTGTCAGTGTTCTCATCTAAAAATGATGTCAGCCGCTGCGAAACTTCCGGCTTAAGTTTCTTTGGAGTGTTGGGAACGTGTGGAGTCTCGGCCCTCCTCTTTGACGATGTCGTAGGAATATCGTCGCTAAGTTCATCGCCTGGCTCAAGGATCTGACCTAATGACACCCCCGGCACGCCCTCTACCGCCCGCGTCATTCCACATATTCGGACAATGGCTTCTTCTTATTCGGTCAATGTATGTTTTGTGAAAGGTCCACCACCAGTTGCTCGCGATTCACTTGTATTGTGTGCCAATTTCTTCTTAACTTCGCTTTTCCACTCAGTCCATACCTAGAGAAGACCAATGAATATACCGTTAGAAAAAATTTAAGATTCGATTTTCGAGCTTATTACTTTTTTCCACCCATTTACATCTGACAAGTAAACCGATTAGTCGGTTTCTGTAACACCTAAAATCGATATCAAATCTGATTCGAACATGAAACCGATAAAATCAGAATTTGTAACACCAAAACCAAACTTTTGTCGATTTCAATTCTGATTCCGATAACAATCAGAATCTGTAACACCCTTGATAAGCTCACACCAAAAACGTGTACTTATTTTTGTACATAAGATACATATGCCACGCCCCCTTTTCCGAATTTGGGCAAACTCCACATAAAATATCTGCATGATGGCCCGAATATGCTATATAAATGTGGTTGAATTCGGTGAAGCCGTTCTCAAGTTATAAGCTAACTCACAAATTTGTATATATAAAATAGAGGCGCCACGCCTCTTTTCCGAATTCAAGCAAACTTCACATAAACCATCTGCATGATAGCCCGAATATGCCGCATAAATTTGGTTGAATTTGGTGAAGCCCTTGTCGGTTATATGGTCACGCCAAAAACGTTCACTTAATTTTATATTTTAGTTAGTATGGGTGGTGCCACGCCCCCTTTTCCGAATTCGTATAAACCATCTGCATGATAGATCGAATATGCCACATAAATTTGGTTGAATTCGGTGAAGCCGTTCTCAAGTTATGAGGTCACACCAAAAACGTGCACTTATTTTTATATATAAGATGTATGTACATTAGACTGCATCACCAAAAAAGTTGCGGTTTTTCCGCCGGGATTACAAAATGTATTATATTTTAAGACGTCCACCAAAATATTTCGGAAAAATATTAAGATTTAAGTGAGCTGGACCGATTTGAAAATACCTCCAAAAATGTAGTTTTTTATGAATAAAAATAGTTTCTTAAAGAACTTTTTGAAAAAAGTCCCCTCAGATGACAAAACAGATTAAGCTTAAAAAATCTGTATAAAAATATTTAAAAATCTTTTAACCGGAATCGTAAGAATGAGATTTTTGATGCTGTTTTTTTACTTTCTTCAAAGATTGATTTACGAAAAACTTGAATAACTGGGTTTTCTAGTTTTGGTATTCTGATTTAGGCTTATGGGATCTCAGTTGAAAGGTATTTACACACTATTTTTGTTTCTGTCCAAAAAAAAGTCATTCGTGTCCCAATATTTTTTTTTCAAATACCAACACATCTTAATTCAACTTTGAATGACGTTCCTTCATCCTACCTTTCTCTTTCATCCTTTGAATGAGTTTATTAGCAAAGAAATAAAAAGATAGAGAAAATACCTTTCTAATGACACCTCCTAAGTCTAAATCAGAAGAGTTTAGGTTCAGTTATTCAAGGTTTTGTTATACCAATCTTTAAAAAAAGTTAAAAAACAGCATCAAAAATCTCATCATTACGATTCCGTTCAAATTTTTTTTTAAATTTTTTGAAAATATTTTTCTGCAAATTTTTTAAGCTTAAGCCGTTTTGTCATTTGAGGGGATTTTTTCAAAAAAAATCTTTAAGAAACTATTTTTATTCATAAAAAACTCCATTTTTGGAGGTATTTTCAAATCGGTCCAGCTCACTTAAATTTTAATATTTTTCAGAAATATTTTGGTGGACGTCTTAAAATAAAATAGATTTTATAATTCCAATGGAAAAATAGTAGCGATTTTTTTTTTTTATGGGGAGTGATGCAGTCTAATGTACATATTTAATGTTTTTTTTCCTTTTCGTAATACATATTATGATATTTTTACATACATACTTATTAGGGATGTTAATTTTTCGGCTTTTTCCGATCCCGGAAATTTCGGGATGGCGTTGTCACAATCCCGGGATCCCAGGATTAGCCCCAGGATTAAGATATTCATTACTTTTTAACAACTTGAATCGAAAAACTTGCTTCTATATTGTTTGAGAAGCTCTCCCACCATGAAATAAATAATAAATAAATGAGTTTGAAACCTACTTTTTTATTTAAAGTGACGTTTTTATTTTTTCTCTCTGACCGCAGAATTTATTTTGCAGGTCGTTGTTATTTCAAAGATATGATGAAAAAAGAAATATAGCCAATACTGGTCAAGAAACGGATTTTCTGTTATTGCCATCAGTGCAAATTACAAATCCCGAAAATCCCTGGATTACTTGCCAAGAATCCCGGGATTTTCGAGACCTTAAAAAGTATGATGGCCTCTTCAAAACTGGCGTCTTGTGCCACGCCTACACTGAGGGTAAAGCCGTTTTTGCCATGCTTTCAACGTCGGGGCCTCCGTCGTTTCTTACTACCGTTCTGTGACCGCAACCCAAATAAACCTGCAGCATTCTAAAGCGGCTACTCGGTACCGAGCCCACATTTGTTAGTTTTGGAAGGTAGGAGACTGTTGACCTAACTCTATCCAACTCCTGGGTGGGGTTGTCAATTTTAAAGTGGAGAGCCCTGGGTGAAGATTCGCTCTCGGCCCATATGTATGTATATTGAATTTCAACTTTGTTAAGATGATGTATTTGGATTTGCTGTGATTTAAGGATGGGCACGAAAACTTGCTTTTTGCGCCACGTTGAGCAAAATACCTCCAAAAACAGCGTTCTGACAATGTAAACGTATTTATTGTGAAGTGTGGAATGAGGCGAAAATTGCTGGAGATAGAGATTTAGATTTGAATATCTTTTCAATCAAAGGATACACTACAATGTCGAGTTTCCTGAAATTTAGTATTGGCATTTCAGGCCGAATTATTTGTAATGCTCCAGGCCATGGATTACGTTGGGTAAAGTAGATGGAGAAGCAGAAATTTACGTGTTTGTGGTGACAGCCAAGATGCACTGAAGACATTGGCCAGCCCTCTATCCACTTTCAAACTAGTTCGGCAATGCAAAAGTCGACTAAACCATCTTGGAAAACATATCGAACTTATCTTACTCTGGGAGCCCGGTCACTCGGGAGTAATGAGGCATCTGACCATTTAGCCAGAGAGGGATCGGACGAGGTATCCCTCGGTCCGCAGCCAGTTACAGCACTCTCACCTTCGGCCATGGATGCTAGCGTCAGATCCTGGGTGGATATTTGGAGGATTCGAGGGGCTGCAGGTGGGCAAGCATTAGCAGATGGTATTGCTAGTTATTTGCTTTCATTGATCAGATGGTGATAGGCATATATGACAACTAGGGATGCAAATTTTCAGAGCCAATATTGATACATCGATATTTCGATGTATCGTAAACACGAACATCGATGCCGAAAAAAATCGCCCTAAAACTATCGATACATCGATATTTTCCGATGTTTCTCTTTTATAATAAGTATGTTACAGGTACTTCATGATTTGCAGGTTTTTACAGGAAGCTGTTAACGTACGCCACCTTCCATAAGGTTTATTAATGGCGAAAACCGCTTTACTTGTAAAACCTGCAAATCCTGAAATACCTGGAACTGACTTAATGCTTGTTAAAATTTCAAGAAACACCTAGTGTCCATCTAAACTGCTACATTGTTAACATTTCAATGGGTGGTTTTTTGAATTTAATTAGATTTCCTTCCAATGTCATAATAGATTTGCTGTTTACGCGCAGATAATACTTACACTCACCTTAAGTCGTATTGAAATACCGTAACTGCGTCATGGAAATCGCCTATGTTCAACGTTGCCAATTGCTTTTATTAAGTACATGGCTGCCATCACCCGTAATACGCTTACCCAAAGGGCTCTGTCCCACGGTCAGTAATTATCACGATATTTGGATCGCGATCCATATTGATGGATTGATGGATCGCGCACGAATGCTACATGTTCAATATTTATCGCGTCAGTATTTGCATATTTTTTTTTGCTGAACGCTTATTATGACGCAAGAAAATATTTTTATTTTGTACGTATAACTTACAGATAATGCATTCCACAATTATTTTAAGATTTGTTCAATTTGTTTTGAAAGATTTTAAGCCCCGAGAGTGAAGGCAGAGCCGATGTTTACATTATGAGAGTAAAAGATGTACTGAAGAAATGTATGGATCGCGTTTTGAAAGTGCTACACGTTCAATATTTATTGACGGTATTGCGATCCGCGATCCAGATTTCAAAATTTTTAGAAATTTTGCGATATGGATCACGATCCATCAATAAATATCGCGATACTTGGATCACGTCAATAAATACTGACCGTGTGACAGAGCCCAAAGAATATAACATAAAGATGTGAACGCAATGGCAATTTTGAACCGAAACTAAAGTCGATGTTTAAAACATCGTTAAAATTGACATCGATATATCGCCAATTTTACGATGTTGAGTAATTTTCAAATATCGATGGTAAACATAGAATTTTTAGCCGATGTTATCGATGTTTCAGAAACATCGATGCATCGTTTGCACCCCTAATGACAACCCATTTGCCTTCTTTCCTTGAAGAGGATCAGACGGCTGAACCCTTTTCTGATATTTGAATGAAAATAGAAAATATTCGGTGGCTGCATTTTCTTGCATTTCGAGGAAAAACTTCATAAGTGATGAGGCGTATTTCACGCTCGACGGCTATATTAATAAGCAAAATTGACGAATCATTGTTCCCGCAAAAAGTGACTATTTGGTATGCATTGTGGTCCGGCAACATCATCGGGACACTCTTCTTCGATAACAATGAAGGAAAATACCGAAAATTCTCACAGCTATGCCGCCATGATCAATGAGTTCTTTCGACTGCTGTTAAAGATTTTCATTTGGACGAATTGTGTGTGTCTTCAACAAGAAGGGGTCTCAATCCACACAACGCAGCCAGGTATGGCTCCACCGAGCAAGAAATTCTCGGGACGGTTGGTTACCAAGCTCCTACGATTAAACTCTCCACGGCTAAGCGAAAGACCGCATTTGTGGCAACAATTTCCAATCATTGCGGCAATTGAATGGCAGATACGTCGAGTTATGGCACAGTCCAAACTTTAGTATGAAATAATGTCCATCGAAATTTAAATATTCAGTCTATTTTAGTAACTTTACATTTCCAAAAACCAAAAATATTTTATGAATACAAATTTGTGATCACAATACCTGTTCTACCTTTCCGGCTTCAACATATCCCCAAAAAATATATTCAGCCCATGATACAAAAAAGAAGGTAGTTTCAATAAACAACTTTTGACGGATAATAAAATTTTTTGAAGTTTCATAATTTGTGAGTATTATCAACGGCCTTGCCACTTTGATAATATTAAAACAATAAATCGGAGTATTTTCTTTCCCATATTTATACCAATGTAATAACATTTCAAATCAAAAACCATTATCAGTACTTGGTACTGTTAAAGGAGATTTCATCGTAATGGTTCTCTTCATTTTGTAATAAAAAGCACGCGCGCATTTTTCTGTTTTTTTTTTTTTTTAATGCCATCTTGCGATTTAAAAATCAAATTCTAAAGAATGTTCTTCCCAAATGAAAGATTTTTATATTTAGGTTCAAATTTGCTTTTAAATTTCGCATCAGATTTTGCAAAAAATTAGGCTTTTAGCATCATTAAATTTCACAAATTAATTTATGCAAAACACCTGAAGAAAAATGTCAGTTACGCGGTTTTGCAGTTACACATTCTCATGCGTTCTGAAACCTAGTCGTCAACCCCATTTGCGAAATCATTTAGCCGGCATAATTTTCTAGTTCATCATATTCCACATCTTTGAATGTACTGATAAAATCTCTGCTTAAAAAAATATATTTCTTCCAGTAATCAGGTAGCATGAATTTGATGAAATGCCATAATTTTATTAAAAGTCAAATGGTTAGCAACAACAACGAATGTCATTAAATGAAACTACCTTTTTTTTTGTATCATGTATTCAGCCAATCGAAATTTTTTCAGTATAGCGTGTCAACTGTGGGAGGCTTTGAGCTTCTAGTCTGGGCCTGTCGGTTGAATTTTGGATATGAATATAGGTTTAGACAGAGTTTTGAAAGTATACACTTTAGAATTTAAAATGAGTTGTCAGTCGCTCTCTTGGAGACTTCGGATTTCTGTTACATTCATGATTTGGTTGATATGGAATGCATATGTATACAGAGACTTGAGAACCTTAAAAACAAACTACCTCAAGATTTGCATTTTTTTAGAGCTTACTGCCGTCATAACAGGACATCCATATTGAATTTTGTCAAAGCAGGCACAGCTCTTTTTCATTTATTCATGATCCAGTTGAAATGGAGTGTGCCAGACTAAAAATTTTTTTTGGGTAACTCAGTTGAGTGACTGCTGATCCTTGTTAGAGGTTACATACAAGTACAACTGCGGCTGCAAACGAAGATGGCAACATGCGCGTTCGATCATCGTACATATGTATATGTATACATCCATATGTGCCAACATACACATATACATATGTATACACACGGTGGGCAGGAAGCAAAGATAGGTTGCATAAAAATGTCGACAAAAACTGAAAGCAGGGTTGTATTTGTTGATATTTTTAGGTTAAGAATCCCTTTGAATTGAAATCCTAGCTGCTCCTGTTTTAAANCCTGCCCACCGTGTACACAGTTAACAAAAAAGAGACGGAAAAAAGGAATACTATTTTTCTAGAGCTTTCCCCTTGACTTTTTCTATTATTTGCAACTGCTACTCTTTCCGTCCTCAGTGGTAAATATTTTCCGCGTCACTTTTCACGTGGATTGACTTTTTAAAATACAAATTCTAAGCAAACAGCAACACCAAGGACATGACAGGACGCATTATGAACATGAAAGAATTACCATAAAGTGTAGTGTTCATCACGCCAACGAAGGACACCGAAAAGAGATTGTTCTATTCACAAAGCCAATGTGTATTGCAATATTCTGCAATGTTTTTATGCTGGTAGTGACCCTGTTTCCCGTTCATATTGTTGACATATCCGTTTAGAGATCGACACGGTTTGCAAATTTTTCATATTACTTTTCAAACAGTACGTTAGTAATTTAAAACTAGGTATGCGAAGCGTCTCGGGCATGCCTGCATTTCTGCTGTAGTGTTGCCAAATGGTGCTCTAATCGCCGTTCATAGATCGTGAGGCCGATAAATGGTCAGTGATGATACAAGTCCAGTCCGCCAATTGTCTGTTGCCTGGAAAGCATGCAATATTACGTAAAAGTCGAAGCATATCAAATTGCTTGGCAAATGTTTTCTTCGAACGCAGACTACATACATATGTACATACATAAACCAACACAATAAAAAGGGAAAATAAAGAAATGAAACTGGAAAGGAAAGGTTGTTCGCAAAAAGAACACAAAAACACCACAATAAGATTACTTAGAAATTCTGCAAGGCGCGGCATTGTCTTTGAGAGCAATTCGGACTACAAAATTATTGAATTGTGTGGATTTAAAAATATGTATGCAGATTTTGCTGTACACCTAAATAACTAGGGGTATTCACGATCCGGTGCATACTGTCTAGCATGGTGCATATATAGCAGGATTGTTGTTGTTTCATGTGTTGAAACAACAACAAAATTTGTCACTCATGCTATTTATGCTATCTATGCACCATGCTAGACAGTATGCACCGGATCATGAGTACCCCTAATGTATTTACATATGTACGTGTTTCTGTATTTAAGTATTTCTATACCTATAATTATACATACGGGCGCTGTAGGCGAGTGGTAACACTCCGAAGGACCAAAGTTCGATCCCTGGT